AATAAACTTAATGAAAAAAAAAAAGAAATTGTCACCAGGGAGTAGATTATGAGCAACAGATCCTCAGGTAATTATAAACAATGTGGTTTGATTTGTGGCCTACAAGGGGCCAATGAATATCATATTTGTGTTCATGGAAGACATTCTGTAAGTCTTCATGAAGCAGTGAAATAAATGTCATCAAGTCACATGGAAGGCTCTAGTTAATTGAGAGAGTGCTGAATGAAGGGCATGAAGAATTCAAGACTATGAGGTAGAGCATCTGCTATTCTACAGGTACAAGATAGGATTAAGAAAAAAATACATAAGGTAAGTCCCTACAAACTAGCCCCAATGTACAAACTGAATACAGGTACTGTTAAGAAAAGTATCTGCTTTTCTCTTGCAACAACAGAGCTGAGGCACCATGAAAAAAATTTTGAAAGATTGGATGCTCTAGGCTGAAGAATTAAAGTTAGTCCAGTTTGTATCCATGTTGCAAACATGAAAGTCAGAGCACTGATTAATAGAAAAAGAAGTGGAATGGCAGTGCCTTGAAAGATTGTGAGTTAGGTGTACCTTAAATCTCTAATTCTCACTTAGGCCCTTCCTTGCTAGTTGGGGAGCCCATCTTCCTTTGTCCTCTCTCTCTCTTGCTTGAGGAGGTAGTGAAATCCCCCTGCCTGAAGAAATTCTCTTGCAAGAGTAAACTAACTCCTATTTGCTTCATCCTTCCATACACACATCCTGCTCCACTTCCATGAGGTAACAGCATGCTTTGTGGGGTTAACTATCACATGAATTATAAGACTATGTTCATTAATATGGGTAAGCTAATTGAAAAAAAGTACAGGTATAGATTCTGACTGGTTTAGACAAGGAAGAAAAAGCAATTTTAGCTTCAACTGTTTGCTGATATAAGAATGCTTGTCAGAGATTCTGACAGAATTCTTGTCAGAATTCAAAATCTACCTTTAATACCTAAGAGGGGTTCTAAATGTTTATCCAATTGGCTGACTGGAAATTGGAGTTGGATACAATGATACTCTATGCTAAAAGAATATGTGTAGTGTCACATATTCTTAGGATAATGTAGAATTAAAAAACTGCAAGATATAAGAATGATGGATATGATTGTGTAGCTTATGTTACACCTTTACCCATTCTCTACCTATAAACCTTAAAATGGCCCAGAGAACACTTCCTACTTCATGCCTTGAAAATACACGTACAGTGGAATGTCCACATCTCTAAAAAATACTTTATAGGCCAAAGATAGAAGGCACCAAAATCAGACTACCCATTTCAAGAATAGAAGAGAAGCAAGTGGCATTTAAGTACCAGCGGTCGGGAAAGTGGGCATAAGTAAACAGGCAGCAGGCCAGAATGGATTAAAATAATCTGACAGTGTGAATCTTTTGCAGTAGTTTAAAGCATCACAGAGTCTTTCAGATTAGAATAAAGAGGCGCTCTAACATTAAACTAAAAGCATCATTGTTTCCTTAGAAGGAACAAAGACAGTGCTGCCACTAAAGACTTGATGATGACATACCATATCCCTATTCAACATTTCAGTTGGTAAGGGTCTTGAACAAAAATGCTGCCAGTTATTCCCTGGTCAGAAAAGTCTACAAACCTGGGGCTGGAAGTGAAGGACGTGATACATCTCAGGATTACATTCAGGGACTAATTTGTAAAACTGTTCTTTCATATTACTGAGCTCTGCTGGGTTCACGGGCTTTACACTCGAGAGAGGAATGTTTCCACTAGTACTATAATAATTACTCTGCTTGGAAGGTAAGTCTCTACCCATTTTAAATTCTTCAAATCACTCTGCCAAAAGCATACCACCCTCTCAAAAAAGTGTCAGGCAAGAAAAGTTACCTTGATGGTTAAGGAGAAATATAGCAAGGGGGACGTGTGAGTAGAGAGGGAACCCAGACTATCTCTGTAGCACTTCCTGGTATCTCCTGGTAAAAAATAATCCAAGATTGCTGAAACCACATGCAGGCAAAACTACCAAGGGTTCAAGTCCTAACACACACACACACACACACACACACACACACACACGCACAGATTTAAATTCACCTTTTACTCCAAAACAGGTTAAAAACAAACAAACAAAAAAACCTCTGTCTAAGTTACCTCAAGACAATCTTCATTGCATGTAAACAAAAAAGGCAGATAATGGAAGAGGAAAGTCATAAATACCATTTATGTATTCAGGGTCAATATAAAATGTGAGAATATCAATCCATACTTATATATTTATATTTTGTTTTTTGCCATTTCATGTAAATGTTTATAAATTTTAGTTAACTTTCCTTCTCTAATTTTTCCATTATTTTGTAAAGGGTATCCTGGCATGGTTAACTTTACAACTAAATCAATAGGTTCCAAGATATAGAAAGAAAGGAGAAATGGACAGATGCAGCAATTTATAAAACCAGTGTTATTTTACTGGAAAGGAATGTGATTTCAGCTATATAATGAATACATTAGGCAGCTAAGAATAATTTTTTATATAACAATAGAGAAAAGATACATAGATATTGGGAAGTCTAAGAGGAAGACTATAGTTACATATTTTTTTGCTGACTTGGTCCTATTTGGGAGAAAGTACTAAGATCAAGGGAAACAGTATTCTACCTCTCACTGCAGAAGCCAAAACTGGAGCAAGTAACCCTTTCACCGATGGCTAGGGAAAGACTTTGAGCACATGCCCTAAACAGAGCCAATCATTTGGTTCCCTATAGATTTCTGGCTCAGGGAAATGAGGTTAAGGTCAATGAGAGAATCCATTAAAATTGAGCTTCATAAAAATAGGAACAAAATCTTTGTAAATAGGGAGGACTGGAGGCATTGAAGGGAGGGTTGGGCAAGGGTGAAAAATAAGAACCAAGAGAGACTATGTAAAGGTGCAAATTTCCAATGA